ACCATATACATGGTTAATGCATGATGCGTTAAAGTTAGGGTAGTAGTGAAGATGTCTTTGCTACTTGTGATTGGTGTTATCAACATGGATTTCAAGGCACTTGTTCTTCTGAACCATAGTCAAGAGTGACTTACAGCAGGTATGAATGAAAATGCTCATTGGTGCGTAAGCTCTTCTCAAAAAATGTCATTGGGAAAACAAACTTCCTAGCAAACACGTGCCTAATGAAAAAAGCTTACACTTCAGACACCAGCACCACCAGCAGGGACCATTTTGCAAGTCTGAATATGTGCTTACGCTGAAGTAAGCTCTTGTTGCACTTCTGTATTTGACTAGTTGAAGTTGGGAAATGTCACTTACTAAATCTATGTCACCCTCTTCAGATATCCCAGTTTAAATTGTTCTAGTGAGTCACAAGTGTCATGGTAACTCTTGCACCACTTTAGCAACTAGCAAAACTTTCCCTGAGAACTCATCAATTTGCCATCATAGCATTGTTTTCCTCTAGCACCTATTGTAAATCTGGGTCTGTTACTAGCATTTTATTCTTTGCACCTGTAGTTGTCCCTTCCACAACAGTGATTAAACACACATTAGTTAAGGTAAGCTTATAAAAGAACATAGTTTATGGTTGGCTGAGGACACAAATACCTATAGTCAGTCAGACTCCAAGGTGCATCTTTTTCTGGTATACCGATTCCAATGCTGGCCAGTATCAGCCTTTTCCATTACACTTTGCTTTACATCTCCCTCTGTCAGCCCCATAATGTTCACCCTAACTTTTAAATATGAGGATATCTTCCAAGTTGTTTCCAATTACTTTAAAAATATTGAATGATATTGTTATCCATAAATCTAGTCCTTCTGAGCCATAAAGATAGTAGCTTTTGGCATTTTCTGTTGAGTCCATAGTCTAATAAAATGAAATATTGTCAGTGAATCTGTTATTTATATTGTATCAGCTACTTCTCAATTTTACTGTCTCCCAGCCTAATCTTTGTGTTTGACTAACCTATAAATTGTAGCAGCAAATTTTGTGATCAAAGATATGATGAACTAATGAATGTAACAGAAATTATGCTTCCAAATCTTACGATTTTGCCATGAGGGAAATGTTCTTTATTTCATGTCTGTCTTTCTAACCACCTCTTAAATTCAGAACAATAACAATGCTTTTCATTCCAGTGTAATAATAGTAATTTCCTCTAATTAAACTTCCAAAAATAGTTTAAGTTACTTGTCTTCTAACAACACACTAATCAGCTGCCATTCTATTCCCAGTTGTCTAACAAGCACGATTTCAACAAAAAGAAAGTGTGATCTTTTTATTAATTATAGATTAAGTAAATTTGCCTTCTACAGGTCAACAGTGTTCTCAGCCATAACCCTGAGGCTTTCTTAGGTTAGCGAAAAACACGTCACCTTTAGATGCTGGTACTGTAGAAAGGATCTAAAAGGTAGCTTATTAAGTGCTCAGTTATTTAATATTAAAGTAAACGGATTCAGGTAAAGTCGGTGATCTGATAACCTTTAAAGACTTTGTTCATTCCAATCACTTTTCTTAGCTTTAACTATGCAGTTAGGCCTACCTGCTAAATATTAGACCTAGGTTAAAAAAATAGAAATGTATGAATTTATACACTACACCAGTGTGGTGTATGTTGAAAAATATCAAAATGACGTTATGGAATGTCAAAAGACCTGCTTTGAAGGCAGATCCACAAATAATATAACAATTGTTCATGTCTGACTAGAACCACCTACGTAATGGAGTTCCAGCCCATTCAGAAAGCATGCATTATTTGTTCATGCAGTTTATACCACTGCATTTTTCTGTCACTTTTCAGAAGTTAAGAAAGAATCTAAGACTGGAATTAATTCTATGTCCTAAAAGGAAATAAAAAAAAAAGTCTGGTGTTATCTCTCTAGTTTTACCTAGGAAAGCAGGGTTTATGCCTAATGGGTTCATCTTAATGCTAAGATTTAGCTGCAAGCTTAGTCTTTGTAAGGTGGAAAGTAATAATGCTCCTGAAACATCAAGGACTTTGCATTTTCAATTTCAGGAGTCTCTTCTGAGCTTGATTATCTTCATTTCAAATAATTGTCTTTGAGTGCCAAATCACAACACATTATATCTCAAGCTAGCAGAAATTCTGTAGGTATGCATCACGTGATGATGTTGGTCTAGGGAAACTTTTGGATTAATGCAGTGGTTTAACCAATACTAACATACTTTAAAAGTCTGACTTTCAGGTACAGCGGTCTATGCAAACAACAAATTACAAGGTTTTGCTGCCATCTGGTATGACTGGAAAGGTAGCTGAACTGTGTATAACAGATGATTTTTACCCAAGGACAGCTTCTGAAAGATGGCTTGGCTACTTTTATTTCATGTGAATCAGCTTACAATGAATCATCCTATCAATGCCTAATCATTTACTTGCTTATGCAACTTTATCTCTGAATCCATTTCTGACCTATTTATTTTTGGTTTTCATAAAATCTTTTATGCAGTTATTTGCCATGTGCAAGTAAGTGTCCTACACATGTTCATGCAAACTGTACAACAAACAGTTTAACTATCCAGATAAAAAGAGGCAAGGAGACATAGGGCCTGTTATGCTGTAAAATAATCACAACGAACAACACAAATATTTAGAAACAACTGAACGTCACTGCTTACCTGACAAGGAACACTAACATGAATGATACAATGTCTTCCAAAAGCCTAGAGGGAATATTGCTTTCATGACATCTCTGTAATGAAGCATTAATAAGGTGGAAGAGTACAGCTAAGTAAAGAAAATGCAGCACTAGCAGAGATGTAGGCATTTCAATTTTAATCTGTCACCTATCATTTTAATTTCAACATCTTATAATGATTAAACTGTGTTAAGATCACAATAACAGTTGTAGCTATGGATTTACCTTAAAAATGACAAGCAATTATCTCTATCATACAAGAAAAATAGAGTTAGGGATTAACACTATGTATAGTAATACAAGCTACTTTATGTACAGCAGGACTACACAATTCTATACCTGTAACAGTCCTAAATCTTTTCCTTCCTCTAAATGGAAAAGCATATGCCAGCGTTAGGTAGCTAAGTAGTATTCCCTGCAGTGAAAGACGGTCCTATTGAAAAATGGTGTTAAAAACATGGAAATATTTTCACTATGGCAGTCTGTTTTGGGTATTTTTAGATAGATAGGCATCCTGAGCAAACCTTGTGGCAGCAGTTACATATTTCATGGAAAGACAGTGTTTTTTATAGCTGTACCATGATTCAGAATTATCAGAATTAGTATCAAAATTAACATCAGTGTAAAACAGAAAATTCAGGCTAATGGTTATACGGTAAGTTTGTAAATTTGGCTAGACCTGATGAAGCTCAGCTGAAAGAACTTAGACGTCTCTGTAAGTTATCCAAGAGCAGCCAGCTGCTATATTTGAGAATACTGGAGTGCAGGTGGGATTTCAAAAGACTGGGAAGAAAATAAAGAAAAGCATGGTGGCTAATAAGAAAGAAGAGGAACAGCGAAAGAATTTTAGACCAAATCAACCTAACTTCAATTTCTGAAACAAAAAAAACACTGTCATAGAACTGGCAGGGGGAATCATGTCACATACCTCCAATTTTCTTAACTGAAGTGCTGTAAACAAGCGAAAAGCAAAAGATGTGCTAAAATGGGACCTTTTGTTTCAAATGCCAGTTTCATAGCAACGTAGAGAAATACAATCATTTCCTCTAGTCTATACAATCAGTGCATAACTAGCTGAAAAATTGTACTCCATAATTAGGTATCAATAATTAATAGCCATACGAACATAAAAGCAGCCACACATAGATCTTTGTTCTGACCCATCTGGTCCTGTATATTGCCTTTAACAAGCAGCCAAAAATGTATGCTAAGAGTATAGCAGTAGTATAGAGGAAGCATATATGGGACATTTTCTTGGCGATCTTTGAGAGCCAGATGTGGTACCCACCTATGTGTGGGTACCTCTCAATGGATTTTGCTTCTAGCCTCCCTCTAAAGCCATGTAAAAATGTCAAATGATTAAGCGAGAACAATGTATTAGACAATTCCACAGTAGTCTATTTAGTTCCAAAACTATTTAGTATGTTCTTGGATGATGCGGATGCTAAAGCAGAGTATACAAAGTCTGACATGCTCCAAGGTAGGAATTGAGAGCTCTTTAGAGGACAGCATTAATTTTCAATTTGTCAGTATGAATGGTCTGAAACAGGATGAGTACAGTAAATATTACAGGTAGGAATGATTAATTACCTAAATACAAAATAAATAGTATGAATGTATCAGCTCCTCAGGAAAGTTTTTTGGGACTACAGTAAAGAGAAACTGAACATGACTCAATATCCCACTTGCATGACCTTGCAACGGTTTTATAATGGGATGAATAAACAGATTCTTTACACATTTTACATATAGTCCTTCCTTTTTAGTCAATATTGATAAGACTTTCAGCTCGAATATTGTATCCAATTTTAAGTATTGTACTTCAAGAAAAATTTGGACTAATGAGAATGTAGTACATCTTTAGGATTTCTGATCATAATCATGAAAGAATTAGGGCTATATGGTCTAGAAAAGACCATGAAATAATTGGCAAAATTTCATACACATAGAGGAAGAAATAAATTCTTCCCATATTCAGTGAGAAGAGTAACAAGCTCATAAACTGCAACAGGGGTAATTGTGACATGAGGAAAATCTTTCTGGTGGTTATAATAGATAAGCAGTGAAGCACATTGCTCATGGAGGCCGTAAAATCTCCACCATGGGAGATTTACAAGGACAGTCATATAACTATCTGAACCATTCCTGACAGATGGTTCTCCCTTGGGTCAGGGGCATCAACTAGATGATTTCTCAAAGTTTCCTGAAGTCCTATTTTTTAATGACATTATATATAGACCTGTAAAGCAACAAACTGTAAGATTTAAACAAAAAAAAAAAAAAAAGCAGGGAACATAATGGCTAGCCTTTCTGCGCTGACTCTCCATAGTACTGTCAGCATTTCACTACATGCAAAATGAGTCGTTACCACACCAGAAGTCAATATAACAGTTTAACCTGTTCCTCACCTTGCTCCTCTGTATAAATTTCTAGTCTGAGCAGACAAAGCTATTTTAACTCAAGATTTGGGTTCATGCATCTTTACTCTGCTTAAAAGCAAGATAAACTACACAAGTGCAACTTGATGTCACTTAATTTCTTAGGGCTGAGAAATGCCTCATTCCCACAGCACTGTAAGGAACAGTGCTGTGGTGTCTAGTTCTTTGGCACTTCGTCCTGTTGCAGCTTTCACAACCCCAGGCTGGGAGCTTAGACTCCCCTTTACAGGTTGCTCAAGAATAGGATCTAGGAAGCCGCTGGCATATTGAGTGGGGAGCTACCCAAGCCAGCCAGTAAGAAACACCGCTCCTCAAGACAAGCTAGGCATCTGCACAAACAGGAGGTGCTGCTGAGGATTCACAGACGCAAAGTCTCTTCAAACTTTAGCTGCCCAAGACAAATAAGAGTAATTTCTTGCAAAAGAGCAGACCTCAAACATGACACACAACTAGGAAGAGATGCCTCCCCTTACACCCAATCCCCCTTCAGAAGTGGAGCAGGGCTCCCTAGAGGACTACCCCCACCCTAACCCCCACAACCCACCAGGACTCAGGGACTTACTTACATTCATTTTTGTTTCTCCGACCAACTGACAGGTTAAGTAAGTATTTCATACTGAATGAACAGTTTGAAAAAGAAAAGACCAAGATAAAGTGCCTCAAAATATCCTACAACAAACAAGTCTAGGATCTCAGCATAATGACAACCAGCTTGTTTCTTGACAAAATTGTAGCCAGGTTTAGTTCCCCGATCTACTCAAAACTGGTGAATAAGCACACTGCCTCAGCAAAAGCACAGGTTTATCAATATAGCAAGTGTGATCTGGTCAGAATTATCTCATTCAGCTAGACACAAAACTATATAGCATAATCTAAGCATCCATGTGTTCTGGACATGGTTTATGAGAAGGTATAAGTCACATCTCTTTAATCATCTCATATCAAATTATAACTTAACCAGACCCCAAATAGCCAGTGATAATGAAAAACATAAACAGCATGGGAAATAATATTATTTAGTATTACACTTGGAAAAGTAGAAGATTTTAAATCAGAATTTAAAGCGATCTATGCTTTCTCTCATGGGTGTTGCAAGAAGGATTTTTGTGTTTCTCCAGCCCTAGTTTAATGCCAGCTAAGCACATGCCTTCATGATCCAATGAAGAGACTGATTTTCTTTGTAGCAGACAGGCATTCTGTAGTCCTTATTTCAAAAATATTTCACTTCTAAAAGTAAAGTTTTTGCCCCGATTCTGACCTGAAGACCCCCTGTTGCATCCAACAAGTCACTCTTCTAAGATGAGATATGAGGAAGAGAAAGAAAGCCTATTTTCCTTAAGTCCCATGAATAGGAGTATTCTCTAATCACTGAGCTCTTGAATGAGAGGGAAGATAGCATCCTCCCTGTACTATGTGCAGCTTAGTGGATAGATGCATTCAAAGAATGTCTAAGTACATCGCATGACTAAGATAGGTTGGTGAAAAGTATTTAAGACACACACCATGCTATTTGCTTTGATGGCTCTGTATCAAAGCCCAGCAGCATAAGTAACTTTAGGCACACCTGAAAGTTAGCAACTTAAGGTGGATTTTTTGGGAGGAGAGAGGTGAGAGGGGCAGGGCTTCGATACTGGACTAGATACTTAATTCTCCATATGAATCTAGCTCAAGGTCTCAATTCCTTTGCAAGGGTATTCTGCCAGATCCTGTTAATGTCCAAATGAACCATTCTGATATCTTACAGTCACTGATTAACTCCCAAAATACATGTGGGATGTGTAAGTGTAAAATAGTATTTAATACTGTAACAAAAAACCTCATTTAGTCAGAATAGCCTAGCTGGAGCTGAGTCACCCTGATGAAGTTCTGGTTAGTGGTGTCACGTTCCAGAGATCGTGACCTGCCCGGGGAATTCACTGTTACGTGCATTCTTTGCACTTGGCGCAAAGAAATAAACGCCTGAGAAATAAACAGGAGAAATAAACGCCTGCCTTATTGCAAGTCATTGCAAGAAACTGTTCAGCGTATCTGTTCTCAGAACTTTGTGGTGGCCTTGATGACAAAAATCCATTTTTTTCCCTCCAAAAATCCAAAATTATGCTCTTTTTAGAAAGCACAGCTACTGAGAGCATAAGCAGAGTATATCCTTCTGTCTGAGGCACTGGTCAGTAATTTTGCTGCTATAGTTTGAATCTACAGCACTACTGGGATGTATCCCAGGAGGTATACCAGCTTCTGATGGACCTTGACTATCAGAAAATGAGACTCCCGGAAGAAATAGTGACTAGCTCTTGATGTGATCACATAGACCCATAGAAGGATCTGATGTTTGCAGCGGACATTGGAGGGGGTGAGCTTGTTACGATATAAAGTTGCATTCATATTTCCACCACCATTTAAACTGGTGCGGATTATGAGTTCAAGCCAGACCCATGGACATTGGAGTGGCTGCTTCAACTCACTGAAATGGAAGCATACTGTGGGTATAAACTCTGTAAAAATCAAAATAAATTCAAAAGGATTTGTATTTGAAACAAACTTTATAAAGGCATAACTTCTTCCAAGCAGAGAATTAACAGTCTTTAGAAGCAGAACAGCTACAGTATGGTATGTACAAGAAAAAATGGAAATAGAAAGCTAACCCGTGTAGCACTTTATGCTAAAGAAAAACATTTCTTATTATATGGACACAATCTGAGTCACCTACCAGCTTGGAACCTCTTTTGTGAAGACAAAGAGTCAACATCTCTAATGCAATGAACTTAAATCACTTAGCAAACACTAAATACACAATGCCCCTGCTATAAAAGTCATTACGATTTACTCATTGTGATACAAGTGCAAGGAAATACTGCCCAAAGACCCAAACAACAAGCTGCATATGAGAGAATACATAAATAAGGCTTTACTAGGTCAAGTCCAAACAGAACAAGAATTTCCATCTTCTAGCATCACCCAGCCAAGAAGGTCTCTCTCCTCGGGACCATTTCTTATGCCCAAGAAATAAATACGCTAAACTATCCCCATCTGTCTTGACAGCTCATCGTCGTCAGGGGAGGAGGAGGAAATAGATTTTTTTTGTCCCTAGGTTAGCTATCCAGAACCACGTAACTTGACTCCAGGTTTCATCACCTCTAAGCAGAAGAAAGCACATAGGCTGAAGAAATGATACAGGTTAAGTAATCATAACAGGTTTCCAGGCATTAATCACTTCCTTGTCACCACTGTATGTGGATTATGTACAGCACACAGCATCCACCCATTAAAGAACTGCAAGACTAGCTATGTTGAGGTTACAATTCTTCCCTTCCTCAGATTTCAGATTGTGATAGTTGCTATGATTGTAGCTATCCAACAGCAAATACAGCTTTTGTACTTCACAGGAGGAAAAAGAAAACTATTTTTTTAGATAAATGGACCCATTAGGTCCGTGAGTAATCAAACTGTGTTTGTTTCAGCAAGAGGCTCCAATTCATTTCACAACATCCCACTGAAATGAGTATGCCCCTTCACACCTCTGCAGTCCCCCTGTAGAGTATTTTGTACACAGGGCATTGTGAAGCACTCTCATTTATACTGAAAGCAGCATTTTGCTTTGGTTCTCCTGAGCAAACAATAGGCGTATGCCAATACATAATTTTTTCATTCACAGCTAAGGACCAAAGATAAAAGTGATCCTAATTAAAGAAGATCAAGGGTGTATTCAGTGCTTCCTCAAATCATCTCAGTTTCAAACCTTCTGCTCCTCCATGGCATTCCTTTCCTTCCTAACTGAAAACATCGTCATTCCCCCAGGAATGGTACTTTGGATGTTTCTCTTTCTATTTTCTTTCCCCCCTTCTGTTTCCAATGTGTTTATTTTACCTTGAACTGATCTTTCTCTATCGCCAAAGGGAGTTTGCTAAAGATTTTAATGATTTACATTGATCTGCACTGCCATTTGTCACCTGCTCCCTACCACCCTGTTAATGTCTTCCAAGTGTTTGTGCAGGGACAATCAGACTTCCAAGGATCACCCTTTCCCACAGCCTAGCCTATATTCAGAACTGACAACATCACTGCTACTGCCCGTGCCCACAACTTTGCTGCTAATTTGTTGGTTTGCATCAAGTCGAGCCTGTAAGGTTACAGCAGCTGGAGGGTATTTGGTGTATTTCAGGATTCTCTAAGCATTTTACAGAATCAAGTCCATAGCACAGCCAACATAAGTTGTGGTGGGATATGTCAAATTTGGTTCAAAAATACAAATAATCATTGTCCGCAGGGTTATGAAATTTGCTGAAACTTTTGCAGTAAGGGGCAGAAAGTTTTTTTATCCTAGCACATGACGTAGAATGAAACACTTGCCAGTCACTTGTGTTGCTGGCTACCAAAAATCATCTTTGCAAGTTTTCCTGTTATCTTCATTTGAGCTCCTAGCAGCCACCCACTTAACAGCAAATCTGCCCACATTTCATACAGTCCAAGATGAATCAGCAGGAGGCAGTAGGCGCATGTCATCTGATTTAAGTTTGTTTGCTGAGACACAGGAGATAGTAAGAGCCACTCCTAGCTCAAGAGAAAACATGCTCATTAAAATCAATGTAAATTCTCACTGGCAAAGACGTGGGAAGTGGTCCAGTAAAAACCTAACTCTTGTCATTCTTCATTAAACGATCGTCTCCTAGAATGACCAAGTTTCTGGAACCCCCACCACTAACGTCACTATGCAACAGGTTCATTGCAGGGGTCACATCCAGTACACTCTAACAGTAAGGTTCGTTTGCAAAGTCCTATTGCTATCAGTTTGGAATAATTCTCATCTAAGAATAAGTTAATAATGAGAATCAGGAGGAGCTCCATATGTCCAAACCTGTAACTGAAACCTTACGCAGCTGCACTGGCGTAGGATCAAACTAATTCATCCAGAGCTGACTAACGTTATACAATTGTTTACATACTTTCTGAAAACATTTTATCTTCTTTTACAAGGCATTACCTGCTTGCCTGTGGTGATTTATGTATCTCGCTCCCAGCCCATTTGTAAGTCATCTAGAATGAAAAGCGTCTGCTTTCCTTACAGCTTTGAGCAACCACTTTCAGGAAGGAACGTCTAGAGAAAACACACTGGGTATTTTCTTGGTATGTCCTAATTTACAAGACTTAGGAAGAAGTCGTAACACTGACAGGTAAGATGCTGGATCAGCTTAGCAAAAGGATCCCCAAAATCTGAGTTGTGACACGTCCTCACGGCGTGGGGCCACTGCTAGCCCAAGCAATACACAGGCCCGCTGCTTCCAAAAGCCACTCTCAAGACATGAGGCAAAGGCTAAATTCCTTTTTTTTTTTTTTTTTACCTTGAAATACTGCCGGATATCCTGGGCTCTCAAGCAGACCTCTCAGAGCAGTCTTACAGCCATCCCTCCTCGACAGCCCCTCCCGGAGGTCCCCCC